AAAGAAAGATGTAAAGCCATTTAAAGGTTACAAGTAGAGGAGACACTTGGCTTACTTTTTTTTTTCCTTTAAGGCACTTTAAAACACTTTCAAAATAATTTTAGATTTACAGAAAAGTTAGAAAAATAATACAGAATATTCCATTCACTCAGCTTGTTCTAATGTTAAAAACTTATATAGCCATAATAAAATGCTCAAAACCAGTAACTTAACATCGTTATGATACAACTAGCTAAACTAGAGACTTTATTCAAGTTCCGTGTTTTTCCAACTCAGGTCTCTTTTCTGTTTCAGCATTCAATCCAGAATATCACATTGCATTTAGTTTTTTTTCTATCCATGACAGTTCCTCTGTTTTCTCTTGTTTTTCATGAACTTAGACACTTGTAACGAGTAAGTTATTTTGTACACTGTCTCAATTTGAATTTGTCTGGTATTTTCTCATGATGGGATTGTAGATATGCATTTTTTGCAAGAATAACAAAGGATCACACTGGTTGCTGTGGAGAGGGCAGAGTAAGGAGACTCCTTAGAAAAGTATTGTGGCTCAGTTGGTTGGGCATTGTCCTGCAAAGCAAAAGGTCACTGATTCAGTTCCCAGTCAGGGCACATGCCTGGGTTGTGGGTTTGGTTCTCAGCTGGGGCAAGAATGAGAGGCAGTCGACTGATATTCCTCTCTCACACTGCTGTTTCTCTCATGCTCTTTCTCTCTCCCTTCCCCTCTCTCTAAAAATAAATAAAATAAAATAAAATAAAATAAAATAAGCCTGTAAGAGATCAACTGATCCACCATTAGCTATCTGCTAGAAGAAAGAAAGCTCAACCCTTTTTTAAAGAAGACAGCAAAATCAGGACAGTCAAAAATGTATCATGTATAATATCCAGTACCATATAAAAAATTATTAGAATGCCAGGGAGTAAAACAAAAATATGACTATAGCTAGAATAAAATTTAACCAATAGAAATAAATTTGGAAATGACAGAGATGATAGAAGTGACAGATTAAGGATAATGAACAGCTGTCACAAACATTTTCAAGTACTTGAAAGAAAACAGTGGGAAATGGAATGGCATATGTGTAAGAGAATTGAATGGAACGTAAAACAATGAAAATTACAAATATGAAATTGAAAATTCGCTGCAAGGGCTTAATAACAGCTGATACACAGCAGAATAAAAGGTCAGTGAACTTAAAAGAGTAACAATAGAATCTATCCAAAATAAAATATATAGATTAAAAGACTTAAAAATGTGCTGGGGTAGAAAACCCACTTTTTTTGTGAACTGTCTTACATTTAGTCAATCAACATAACATAGAGTTTATGCTGCATACAACCTCTTTAACACCCAGGTGTATGGGCACCCGTAAAAGGGAGGAACTCCAACCTCTATCCCTTCTACAGGTGAGCACCCTGAGGACCCATTCACAGTGCTTGCTTGCCTGGCCTCCTGCTGTGTCTCAGGCTGTTGATCTTTTGTGGACCAGTGGGCTTCTGAGACCTACACAAGTCCTTTCATAATCTTTGTTTAAGATTTCAAGTTCATTTTGTTTAGGTACTTGATAGAATGGGTAGAGAGTAAATAAGTGAGACTAGAGAAGGCTTGAACGATGCTATTCACTTAATGATATAAAGTTATAAGAGGTTATTTAGAAGGTAACCATCAAAGGTGGTAGATACCATCTTTATTTTTATTACTTCTTCCCCTAGACCACCTTAAGAGCTATTTGGCTAATTCAGCCTGTCTCACTAGAGCTCAGCCAATATAGGCATTATCTAAGCTTCTCTGCTCAGAATTCCATTAATCACATGTTCCTAATTTGAATTTATAGAGGATATTTATGAATTACATGTATACTATTAATAATCGCATGTTATATCCATTAAAATGTATCAAAAATAGAAAATTTTACATTCTGACATATTCCAGTGGATTATCTTGCACATACCCTATCTCTCGGCAGAGGCAAAACCCTAATTAACATATCAGTTTGTCTACAGATTTCTTTTTAGTGTTTTCTGTTTATTTTTGTAGATTTGAATGGAAATATGTATCAGATTTAGGATTAAATGTCAAATCTTCAAAGAGACTTTCTCTGACTATCCTACTTAGATAGGTCATCTGTTTTTCCATATTATTGCATACAATTTTTATAATACTTTATAAATATTCAATTATATATTTATATATAAGATTTTGGTATTTTCATGGACTGCATCTTTCACTAGTTTTAAATTCTGCAAAGCAGAGGTTCTGTCTAATTACCAACTTACACGTAGAGCTTGATGACATATCCCAGGTTATGGTTTAGGCACTGAGTAAATATTTGTGGAGTGAAATGACTAGAAAGAAGATAGTAATTTTACATAAAAAGAATATTTTTAAAACCAGTTTTTACCTTTAAGTTATTTAAAACTTAATTCTCTTAATTCTATATTCTCTTTTGATCTGGTGCTTAAAATTTTTTCTCAGATCTAGGTAACTTTTATAGCAACCTCAAGTCTCTAACATTTGCAATATTTATTTTTCTTTCATAGGAGCTTACCTACAACTTTCTGTTCTTTGGACCATTAGAAATAAATATATATAATTCATTTTAAAATGTATGTTTTTACTCAGAGTTCTTTTTCACACATCTCTACAGTGTTACAGAACATAACAACTATAGCATATTCAGAAATAATGTTATTTCGGAACATTTTATATAAGCACAGTCATATAATATGTGGTTTTTTGTGACTGGCTTCCTTTCACTTAGCATAATGTTTTCACGTTTCATGCATGTTGCAGTATTATCAGCAATATCTCCTAGTTTTAATATAAAAAATATTTAACTTTACTTAACCGTGAAGAACACTTGATTCTGTAGGGGAAAAAATGCTCTTCTGCTATGTGTGTCCATTTTTCTTTTCTTTTTTTCTTTTTTTTTGTTTGTTTTTTCCTTTTTTTTTAATTTAATTTTAATTTATTTTTTCAAATACATTTGTCTCTGCCTACCCCCCACCACCTTCCCTTGCCCCCTCCCTCCGTCCCTCCTTCAGCTCTTCCCCTTTGGTTTTGTCCATGAGTCCTTGCTATATGTTCCTTGACTTTCCCCTTCCCTTCCTTTTCCCCGCCCCCCCACCCTCCTTCCCTCTTGTTTCTGTTGATTTCTTTTCCTTTCAGTGTTGCTGGTCTTATTTTCCTTGCATCTTTGTATTGTTGGTTAGGTTCCACTTATAGGTGAGATCATATGGTATTTTCTCAGAACTGGATGACAGTATTACCCTTTTAAACGTCTCCACATGCCTTTAAAAATGTCTCAGGAAGAACTCTCTTTACGTAAATTGAGTATGCCCCCATATCTCAAAGACTGCCTTTCCTACTGCCAACATTTAAGAGCTGGGGAGAGGGAGCAGAGGCCCTACTGTGAGACACAGGTGGGCCTGGCTGTGTGTTCTGGGCCAGTTATATGTTTAGCTTTCTACAGAGATGCTCTAGAACAGTTCCCTCAGCTGATGGTAGAAAGGATTGCTTCTGTTGTATGAAAGTGACACCAGTGATAGTCGTTCAAGTGAATCTTTTGTTAGTTACGTAATTTAGCATGCAACATAAGGATTTTGTGTAGTATTAGATATAGAGCACTTGCTTCATAAATTTTATTACATATGACACAATAAATCTCCATTCATATAGGTTTATTCATCTTGGCCCTCCTCTTAGAGTGCCTCCTGAGGATAGGGAGCCTCCTGAGGATAGAGAGCTGGTCTTGTTCATCTTTGTATTCTTGTTTCCTTGGGTAGGAAAATTACTGACACTTAGTAAATGCTTATTATATTGATTTTCAGGTTGTTGCTAAACTTATTATAGTTTATATAAACCAGGCTTGATCATGTTCTCAAAATTAGAACCTAACAAGTAGCAAGATACTTACTGGTTAAACATGTACCCAGGTAATAATTTATTGATAAATCACTACTGTTTGCATTTATGTAGAGGAAGTACAGCGGGTTGTGGTCTATGTTCTAGTTGTAGCTCCATTATGCTTTAGAGTTTGAAGGATGTGGTCTTAATAAGATGTCTCACTTCTAAGTCTATAAATTTAACAAGAAAAATAGGAATTACTTTTAACTAACAGAAATTAAAGTTAAAATACTTTTCCATAAAACCTCTTATAAAGCAACATTTTATAATCCAGTAGTTTTGTAATTTTAGGGTTAAGCTTTATCTTTGTTTTTCCTAAGGTTTTAAGTGTTTTGGTGGTCTGTTAACATAGATCAGACTTGATGTGTCATTAATTTCTTTTAACAGTTGAGCATTTTAATATAAGCTGCCACTGAATTTAAAATTGATAGGGGTATTGGATCTGCACTTGTATATAATTTGAAAGTACACAGGTCTAATAACTATTTATTTCTAACAGTGGTTAAAGTGCTCTTGACTTGGGTTCCCATTATCAACCTGATAATAAAAATACAGAATAACAACTAAGCTTGTTATTACATTTTTATCACTTACTGTCATAGTCTCTGAGGTATTTTTCCTCCCACTTTTATTTTTTTAATGGAGTAGGAAACTGAAGCTCAGAGAAGTGGCGTACTTTAAATTATCCAGGCCAGTAGCTACAGAGGCAAATCTTGAAGCTAGGTTTTTATGATTCCAAGTGAACAAATCTTTCCCTATAGCATGCTGCAGCTGTTAATTTATTCATTATTTATAGCCTGGATGTTTCAGAAAAAGTAGAAATAGTTTCTGTGCTCGATTTTTTTCTATTGAATTGAACACGGACAAGTGAAAATAATAAAAACTTAGTTGTCTGCTTATTGTGTTAGTAAGTACTCAGTGATATATAGTGGTGCTGTAAGGTAGAATACAGAAGGGCAAATCCCATAAACTATCTAAAAATTTAATGTAATGTTTTCAATGAATGTTTTATTTATTTAATTTTGAGTTCAGTATTAAAAGTTAAATAAAAATATAAAAACAATGAACGTAGGTACAATTTTTTTTTCTTTCCCAGACAGATATTGATTATGTACACGGTGTTATAGCCAACCTGGAGAAAGAGTAAGTTATTCTCAATTATGGAAGTGAAAATAATCGTTACTATTATTTCTTCGCTATCTGCTAAAAGATAATGCCTTCTTTTATAGTTCATTCCTCTGGAGTTCAGTGTTCATTGGACCACCTATGGTCTCTGACACTGTCATAAAGTAGGTACATATCTGTCCAGTTTCCTGATGGTATAAATTGGTGTATTTCATTATAGAAAAGATTTGAATGTTTTATTCATGTAACATTATCAAATAACAGTCTATCTGGAAGACAGTGAATGTAGAGAAAATCATATGACATTACTTAAATCTTTAACCTTCTTGTTTACCAAGCAAAAATTTTTCTGCTGTCAGGGCAGATGGTCATGTAGCAGTTTCAAACCTCAGTGCTAAACTGTTTAAATCTGATCTATTTTGCAAAGATTGAGTAACAATTTACTGGGAACAAGGCACATTGCAGGTAACTGATGGAAAGTTTAGAAAATATCAGGTATCACTGATTTTTAAAATACTGTCTTGATAGTTTTAATAGAAACATTAAAAAGTTAGTCTTGATATGGTTTCTTTACTGAATGGTATCTCTTTTTGTCTCCCCCAAAAACTATCTTCTACCTAAAAGGCAAAAGAGAAGCAACAATTATTTGTCAATTCTAGATTTTAAATGATGTGGCTCTATCCTTGTCTTTCAAAATGCTAAAACCAGAGATTTTTAAAAAATGTATAGTTCAGGATTAAACTGTGCATTTGTTAGATTTTCTCTCAAGTGCCCAATTTCTTGGCAGATTCCTTAATGTAAGACCAGGGAAATAATTATTAGTCCTCTTCCCTTGGGCCACGTAGGCAGGTCTGTGGGGCACAGGCAATGATTCAGTTGATTCCTTTCTTCATCTGTGTGTAGGAAAACCATGCCCAGAAAAAAAGTGCAGTTAAGCACTAAGAACATTTGTGTGAAGGCAGGTAATTGCACAGGCATTTTGTAGAGATTTACAAAAATGAAATAAAGGGGAGGACAAATTAGAAAGAAATTATAGTTGAGTAAGATTGATTTTAAAAACTTCAGAACAGAGTGTCTTAACCTTGGCACTGTTAATATCTTGGGCTAGATAATTCTTTGTTGTGAGGACTGTCCTTAGATGTCCCTACTGTCCATAGTTATGATGACCACATGTCTCTAGACATTGTTCAGTGTACCCTCAGGGGAAAAGATCCCTCTCAGTTGAGAAACACTAGTTTAGAATGGCATAGTGTATAACCCACAACAAAACCTTCCTGAAAATTGAAGTGCTTTGATTTTTGCATAAATATATGTATATAGATACACACATACACACATTTGTTTCTTTTTCTTCAATTCCTATTTTTTGTGACACATTGATTTGATTTGTTAAAATTCTTATACTTTTTAGGAAAGCAATACCTGCAGTTGACCTAGGATTTCCATGCTGCTCCAAGGATAGTGGCATTTACACTTTTTTTTTTAAAGCATTATTTAGAAAACAAAAACCATTGTGGTATTGGGAAAATTTGAACTTTCTGGCAACTCAGTGATATTTCATTGAACACATTGTGACCATAACACACCTTACTGATGTGTTTTATGTTAACACAGTGAATTGAGCATTAAGATAAATAAAACCTCACAGAGCTTAAATAACTCAGCTAACCTTTCTCATGATAGATTTTCTAAAGAAATCAGCTCTGGTTTGGTGGAAATAATATCACCTCCTGAAAGCTATTATCCTGACTTGACAAACTTAAAGGAGACATTTGGAGACTCTAAAGAAAGAGTAAGGTGAGCCTGTGTCTTTAGAACCCGCACCCTTGTGAATATAATATATGATGAATGTTGTTCTTATTTATCAAAGCTTCGTACATTTTAGGTGTGAGCCAATTAGTGAAAGCTAATGAATTCTCGGGTATTTTATTGGAAATTATCTGGAGTTCTGATGAGAGTTTGAATTTGGTAAACAATAATTTTTGTAACTGCTGCTCTGATGTTATGGCTTTTCTTAAGAGTATATTATCTACAACTCAGAAGTTAGTCCATATAGAAATATTATGTCTGTATGCAACATAATTGAGAACTGACTCAGTAAAAGTGATAAAAACAATAAGGCTGTTCGACAAAATTACATCATAATAATGTAATTAATCAGTTGAATGTGTCTTTAAATTGAAGGACTTAAATTTCATTGTGTTATTAAAAACAAAGTTATCTAAGAGATATTGGTATTGCTTTTGGATTTTATGTAACTAGAGAAAAAAAAAAGAGGACACAGATATATTTGGGGAAGAGATTTGTTGTACTTCTTGAGTTGTTAATTTGTCCCAAAGACAGATATATCCACATAATTGGTTAATTGTCTCTCAATAAATATAATTTTATTTAAAAAAAATTTAGGGTTACATTTGGTAAAAAATTCTAGAACATAAAATTAAGAACAGCCCATGAGCTATATTATGAAGTTTGCTTAGTATGATTGAAAACTTTTAGTTTACTGGGGTTTTTTTCACTTGGCTTTAGAACCATTTTTCTTATTTAACATTAAGACAGTTTCTGAGGCTACCAGGATTCACTGAAAGGACTTAATATTGTTAATTTTAATAGGATGTTTTGGATTTTTTAAGCATTCAGTGCATATTTATTAATTTCTACTGACTTGAAGCACAGTCCTAGGTATCAGAGCAGTGATCCCCAAAGTATAATTTATAAAGCGCAAGTTCCCAGAAACATTAAGATGTTAAGAAAAAAAAGGGCCAAGGAAGTTTGGAAAATGCTGAATTGCCTATTTTTTTTCAGCAAATGTGTTTACTGCAGGGTGTTTCAGTGCCTCTTTATATGTATTAATATATCTCCAGAGGGGGAATATCTGTCCTTCCAAAACTTCCTTGACAGTAGACTCCTTTTTTCATCAGGATATCTTGAAAATTAGTGTTCTGGGGAATACATTTTGATAAAGGCTTCATTAGAGAAAAGTGAATTTTCTTTCATTCTCTCCTAAGTGGATATACTGTGTATGTGTGTATTTCTATATATTTATAATTTCTATATATCTGTATATCTAGATATATATTGTGTATTCATCATGTATATGGAATATATCATACACATATTGTGTCTATGTAATATAGATACATACTATACAATATTATGTTATATCATAATAGTATAAAATACAATACATTTAATCCTATTTTGCTTAATTTGGGTCCAATTCCTAACTTATTTTTGAAAATTTTCTTTCAGATGGAGAACAAAGCAAAACCTAGATTATTGTTTTCTAATGATGTATGCTCAGGAAAAGGGCATATATTACATTCAGGTATGTGTGGTTTTCCTTTAATGTTTTTCACACATTTAAAGAAAAAGTAACATCATGGGTATACTTTCATTAAAAGAGGATGTGTTGAAAGCATAAACCTTTGGCGATCTATAAGATTATAACAATACATATTATCAGAGAGAGAAGGGTTTATCATAGTGAGTATGTGGGCTCTGAGGTCCTATTCTCTGGTTTAGCACAAACACTAGCTCTCCACTTAGTGGTGTGACAATGGACAGGTCACCCATTTCCCTTTTCTCCCCTTCCTCCATCTTCTCTCTTTGGGAAATTTTTAAAGAAGGATTTCCTTATAATTTTATTAGTGGTCTTACTAGTATAGTTTGTATGCAACAGTACATTTACATTTATATTGAAGATAATAAAACTGACTTTTAATTTGGGAGCATGGCTAAGAGAATAAATGTATAAGGATACGAGTTTTAAGTTAGCCACGAGACAACATCTCTATAATCTAGAAAGCTCTTCTTTCTTTCAAGTCTTATTTTCCTCAATGACTTCAGCTTAAATTTTCCAATTGGAATTTGTTTCTTTCACCAAAGGCCTTTATTCCCTGCTTGAAATGTAAATACCCCCCAAAGGAATAGCACACTAAGCCTGTAATTTACATTTCAGTATAAAAAAGTTTTTTAGATCTTTTCCTAGGAAGATGTTTTGATGAAAATGTCAAGAAGAGGTTTTGTGTCCCTGAATCAGAAAGGAAATGGTGGACAGCTCCAAGGGGTTAGGGGTGGTCGGGAGGGTGTTGGTAAGGGAGGAAAGAAGGAAGAAGCTTGGCATCACATGGGAAGGTAGGTTTATTGAGGTCAGGCTTTGTCTCCCTTGACATTTTACCTTGGACCAGCTGCATTGGTTCACAGGAATGGAGATGTAAATGTTGGTAGGGTCAGAATTTAACATTGTCTATAACAGTATACAACAGTTGAGCATATAAAAACCAATATCCTAAATTTAGAGAGTACATTTCCTTTAAATAACTTCAAAACATTTACTTTAACATATCCCCAATATTACTGTAGTTAAACCTTGCTGTTTGTTCTAGGGCCACTATATAAATATTTGCACTATAGTTAAGAACTTTATAGAGAGAATTTAAAAGTATAGTTGCTTTGCTTTTAAAATTTGCTTTAAATTTCTTTCCAAGGAGAATAGTAATGGAGTCTTAAAGCTTTTTTGTGGAATGTAGGAAAAACAAATATTTAGAAAATTAAGGAAGGATGAGTTTAGAAAGAGGATGATAAGAAAAACTTCCCTAAGCAGGGTCAGTATGTAACAGCAGGGGTCAGTATTACAACAGCAGCAGCTATGAACTAGCATTTATTGCATGCTTATCATGTGTCAGGTATTGTTCTTTACAATTTATGCTTTACACATATAAAATAATTTAATATGACCCTTTTTACAAGAGTAGGACTATACTGTACATAGTGTTTTATAGCCTATTTTGCTGTTACTTAGCATATTGTAGACACCTTTGTATGCCAGTGACATATTCCCAGGGTTTAGTATGGTGTCTAGAACATAATAAAAGCTCAGTAAATATTTGGTGAGTTATTATTATATCTTTTCAAATACTACTACTCTTACCAATGTTTCTTCACAGATAGGAAGAAGAAACCTTATAGGACTTAAATACATGAAAATTCTGTATGCTAAAATAAGTGAAAATTACTTAGGTAACTAGAAATGATAATGTGAAATTAAGAAAAGGAAAAGGTTTCTTTGGATATTCAAATTATCTTGTGACTTTAAAATTATATTAAAGAAGATTCTGGGGAGGAAATCTTTGCATATATTCATGATTGCTGATCTCTCTCAACTCCCTACTGAAATGGCAAAAATTCCAAGCATTGGTAACACATTGTGCTAGCAGAACATATGGGGTTAACTGTTACTCTATGAACTGCTATGGCTTTTTAAGGATTTTGAAGATATCTTTTAAAACACAAAAAAGAAACTTATAGGAACTTATCATACAGAAATGAAAAGTATGTAAGTATAAGCATATTAGCACAGCACCATTTGCACAGACAAAAAATGAGAAACAAGCTGAATGTCTGCCTATGAGCTGGGCAAGTTGAACGAGTTGTTGTACATCTGTGGCATGGAATATTATGCATTTATTAAAAAGGATGGTTTAAATATGTATTTGTTAACCTGGAAAACTAATTCATGATATATGAAGAAAAAAATGTTCACAATATGATCCCCCTTTTTAATAAAAATGTAGAGTGGAATGGGAACCTTAAGAGTATATGGGTCTCTGTGTGGTGTGTGTCCCTACAAAAGGTGTTGAATGGATGCACACTCAACTTTTAACATCAGTTACCTCAGCCAGCAGGGTAGTGGGCAGAGAAGGGAAATTATTAGCTTTTTTTACTTTCTCTTTGACTTGGTATGCGTTTCATGTTAAAAGGAAAAAGCCTACAAAAATTTGTTTCCTTTAAAAAGAAAAAAGGTACGAAATCATGTTGCTGTTGGGCACTTTATATAAAAAGACCAACTATTTCACATGGAAAGGAAGTGGTTTAGTTAACTTGCTTTGTACATCTTTCATTTTATTTTAATAAAATTTAGTTTTGCACTTTTATCATTTTTGACCATTGCTTACTTTATTTTCATGATAAAGTATGCTTGATTTTTTTCCATAATAAAGAAGTTTCTTCTATCTAAATCTTTCCTCTCTTCCTGATTTACTAATATGATTGTTCAACTTTCTGTAGCTTGAAGATGATATTATTGCCAAACAGAATTACTTTAATACTATAAAAAATTTTGCCCTTCAACTTTCTTCTGAGGAATGGATGATACTAGAGTTCTCCCAGCTAGGCTTCATTGGTAAGAAAAATGTTGTATTTATCTACTTTTCAGAAATAATTGTGTATCTTGGGATATTGGATTTTTTTTTTCACTGTAAAATTGTCTTTATTCTGCCTTGACTGGTGTGGCTCAGTTAGTTGGCATCATTCTGCAAGGTAAAAGGTCACCAGTTCGATTCCCAGTCGAGGCACACGTCTGGATTGTAGGTCCAGTCAGAGCACATACGAGAGGCAATTTATTGATGTTTCTCTCACTCTTTCTCCCTCACTGCCCCTCTCTCTAGAGATAAATAAATCAAATATTTAATAACATAAAATAAAGTTGTCTTTATTCTCTGGAAATGGATTACTTTTTAGGAAATTTATCTTTAGTAAATGATGAAAGTCAAGCCAAAATAGTAATTGGAGATTTCTAAGATTGTAGTATTTACTGTGGAGTTCTACAAGGCAGCCATTGGCCCGTATGTCCACGTGTAAAGCCAGCCGTGGTCCTGGTGAACATGTCTGAGTTCTCATACTTCTGCTATAGCCCACTGCTTTTGCAAGATTTTTTTTTTTTTTAAGAATGCCAGACTCACAGTTTTATAATATGAATTCCTGGTATTTGATGTAGTACATGAAGTTCCTGTTCAGTGATTAATTTGCATTCATTTGTTTCTTTTATTGACTACTCAGGGTGCTCGTTTTAAAAGGTTTTTTCCACTGGTATTCCTAAGTTATACAACTTAAGAAAATATGTTGAAAGATGAAGAACTGAAGGAAAAATACTGGTTTTAAAAAACATCCAGAGAATAATATTTCACTTCTTATAGTACTGTAAAACTTTATTAGAGGCTGGGCCTTTGATCTTGTTGATCATGCATCTCAAACTGAATTTAAGAGTCCAAAAACATCTTTACTTGTTAAGGTTTAAATGAAGACAGAATTAGGAGTTGTCATTTAAAATTTGTTTTACCATAACCTCTTTTTTTTTTTAATGGGAAGAATCTTAATAAGACATGAAGGAAAAATCTCAACTTGTATGTATTACAAAATCTGTATGACAGATCACTTGTATGTATTACAAAAAATCTGTATGTCCTACAGATTTTCTAATAGAGAAAACAGGAATTCAGTACTTCCATTTATACCCAGATGACAGCTCAATGTTTAGCTAAAGCAAGTTTGTTGTTTTTGATAAGACAAATGGGGACATTATTCATAATGATTTATAGTTGAAAGCACAAACTTTGGTTTATTTGTTATATAGGTTTCACTTAAGCCAAATTGATGCTTGGCTTCTTTATTACAGCTGTTAACTGGAATATCTTTTCAGGTAAAATGTTTCAAGCTCCAGACCTCACTCTGATTGTAGAATTCATATTTATGTTCTATAAGGAGAAGCCCATTGATTGGCTCTTGGACCATATTCTCTGGGTGAAAGTCTGCAACCCTGAAAAAGATGCAGTAAGTTAATTTCTTTTGAGGGTAAAAGAAATTTCTTTTCTGTATTTTTGAAAGTGACTTTTATGGAGCTAAATTTTGTAAATGAACAGTGAAATAGGTGTTTCCACTTAACATTTCAAGTGTTTGCCTTCTTTCTTGAATTCACAAAGTTTCTATAGTAGAGGTACTTTTAAATAGCAGCATGAAAATCCAGTAAATCGGTAAAGCCCACCTTTCTTTAAGTAGGCTCTGCTTTTTCATTACTATTGACTGCAGGTGTTGATCCTATCTGTCCTGTGTGGGGTGTTATTTCAATTTTCTTCATATTCTCTATCAACCTTCTTTTTTCAAATATATTGGGGACAAGATCAGACCCCTACCCATCTGGAAATAAGTAATAACATAGAAGTAATATTTTATACTGAAGCAATGGCAGATCAAAAAAAAGTACCTTTTAGTTTATTACTTGGAAGAAACCAGTGTTCATACTGATACACTGACCTATAGGATCGGGTGGTAAGTGAACGATGATTTTTGCTGATTGTTCAAATATCAAGTTACTTTCTTGGAAATCTTAATGCAAAAATTAGAGTTTTTCTTGTCCAATTTGAATTGTAGCTCTGAAAAAAACACGCATTTTAAAAATTTTTTTAAATTTTATGTTTAAATCATGTTTATTCTATTACAGTTGTCTCAGTTTTTCCCCCTTTTCCCCTCACCACCCATCCCACCCCCCACCCCCCTCTCCCACAGTCAGTTCCCACTCTGCTGTCCATGTCCACGGGTCATTCACACATGTTCTTTGTCTAGTTCCTTCCCCTTCTTTCCACCATTGTCCTCCTTCCCCATCCCCTCTGGTCACTTTCAGTCTGCTTCATAAAACACATTTTTAAAAATTTGGTGTAAGCATAAAGGAAATATGAGTGTATACATTCTTAAAAATGAATAAATTTTGATGTGTAATAACCAGTAAATGTTAATTTAAGCATATGTCATTTTAGGGTTGACTTATTAGTCATTCTAACAAACATTTAACTTAATTTGACTTCACAACCTTATACGACCTAGAATAGTTCTATTATCTTACTTTCCAATTATCTTTTAGGACACTATCTTCTGGTGTCTGTAAGGTATTGTTGCATTCATTTTCTCTCTCTCTCTCTCTGTTTTTTTCTTTTTTAATAACCAGTTTCTTAGAGAAAATTGTCAAATATAATGAAATAGCAGAATATCTACTTTCCAACATATAAATTGATCTGAACAACTCATTTTTATGATGTAAGGCCATACCTGTGTTTTCTTTGTGAATTACAAGAACTTTTATTTATAGGACACAAAAAATATCATCTTTACACTCCTAAAATATACTTGCATTTAATTCGTCCTCTGCAGCTTAATCTAATATATGGTTTGGTTCTAAAATGAACTCCTGAGGCTAAAATCTCTGATAATAAAAATTAAGACCATGAAAATCTTTTCAATCACTGGTAAATTTTAGTACACAACCCTTTGGCCAGTTCTATCTATCCTTTCACTTTTAGGCCACATTTTTCTATGGCCTGTAATTCTTAAGTTGCCTCCATTAGGCTTTCAAAAAAGCAGTCTCCACTTACTGTACTTGCTGGCATCTGGAACAGTCTCTCTGACAGTGGTCTGGGGAACCCTTCAGGACATTTACACATTCTTTCAAAGTTCTGTCAGTTGGCTCTGACTCTTCAGGCCCATATGTGTTCATTGCCTGTTGAGTGGTTGACTCAGTCTCAGTCCCCATTTATTCTTTTCTTTTCCCCCTACCTTTGTTCTTCCCCTTCCCTCTCCCTCTCCTTCCACTTGAGTAGTTGAACTTGTGTGAATCAAATATACTATTCTACTTCTATTGTTAGTAGTAATGCTAACCTCTTGTTTAAATTTGATAAGCCAGTCAATGTAGAAAGGTTGGTGATTATTGAAATATGCTTGGTCTTACAATTCAGACCTCTTATTCATAGTGTGATTTATTACAGAATTTTTTATGTGATTAACAGATGTGAGAAGACAGTAGGTCCCCCCAAAATCAGGCCTTATAACACCCAGGAAGTTATCTGAAGTCTTTCAAAATGGAAATGTTTTATAAATACGTCTTTTTCAATATGTTCTGGGCCTAAACGTTATAACAAAGCCATTGAAATGAAGAGCTTATAAAAGCTTGGCCAGCTAACCATGGCTATCTTGAAGCACCAGACTAACACACATTGATAGTCCCGCTGACATCATGGGTGTCTCACTATGATCAAGTTTGAGGACAGATTGTAATCTGAAGTCTGAGTCATGAGGCACTTTGAGTTGAAACATAGGTGTCCCTTAACTGTGGTGAGATGGGTTTGTCTGTGGAAATTTTAGTATTGTTTACATGCTTATATAAGTTGTTGCCTCACATTTTCAAATTGCTTTCATGCAACAAAATGTGCCTAATTTATTATTTGCAAATTCTTCATTCTATTCTTTTTGCATGTTTTGTCTGTTTGCTCCAAACCCCTATTTTATAGTTTGTGCATTTTAATATTAAAAGTCAAGTCTCTTTTCACATATCTTAAGAAATGTTTGAAATTTTTAACTCTTCCTTTAGATGTGCTTATTTTAAATTTACATCGTGTCTGTTAATCAGGTAGGTAGTAATTCTATTAATGCCTCAATGAGGACTGTAAAAAATGTGATTTGTTATTATGAGACGAAGTGGGATTTTCTTTTCAATATTTACCTAAAGAACTTCTCATTTTTCAGATGAGAAGATTTCACTTCATAATGTAACACTAACATGATTTTTTTTCCTAATTAGAAACATTGTGATAGACAGAAAGCAAATCTACGAATTCGCTTCAGACCTTCCCTCTTTCAACATGTTGGTCTGCATTCTTCACTAACAGGAAAAATTCAGAAACTTACGGTTGGTGATTTCATTTGATTTTTCTCATGAACGTAAAATTTGTTATTTAGTGCATTATTACTGCTCTTCTTAAGTATAAATAAGCTATAGGTTGTTACAATTGCATATATATCTTCCCTTCTAGGATAAAGATTACATGAAACCATTACTTCTTAAAATCCATGTCAACCCCCCTGCAGAAGTATCTACTTCTTTGAAGGTCTACCAAGGACATACACTGGAGAAAACATATATGGGGGAGGACTTCTTCTGGGCTATAACCCCGATGGCTGGAGACTACATCTTGTTTAAATTTGATAAGCCAGTCAATGTAGAAAGGTTGGTGATTATTGAAATATATTTGAGCTTACAGTTAAAGCCTCTTTCATAATGTAATTTATGATGGAATATTTTGTGTGTAACAGATGTGAGGAGACAGTGGGTCCCAAATATTGTGTTATAAGATATATATTCTTCAACTCGGTAATAAAATGGGTGTGTTGTTTTAAGATAGAAGAGCAGTGTTCAGTGTATTTGATAAATTCTTTTGCTATGTATGAACATATATTTAGTATATTTTTAATACTTTAATGTAGAATTGTGCCACAAAACCTCAAATTCATGTTCTCATCCTTATCCTGGAATATCCCTTAAGATTTCACTGAGAGATGATTGACTACTCAGAAAAGTGGTTGAAATGGCAAGTTTAACAGACTATCTCTAGTCAATGGTTTTGCGAATTTTGGGGGTTTTTAAATTACATCATTGAGGAATTCACAACCCTTCTATGTTTTTCAACATTTATGTCCATTGTATAAAGTTTTGGACTCTTTCTCTTCATTTTTTATTTAGCAGTCATGAGTCCTTCAAACTTTCTGTTTTGGCTATGTTTCCCAGATTGTATGTAGCATACTTATATGTGATCCCCAGAAATGAATATAATTTTCTAGTCTCTGGTGTATTATGTTATGTGTTCTTGTGAGAGGGTCATTTGGTTTTTAGAATCTGCCAAAAATCATTTGGAATAATTCTGTTTAAGGTAGACAAAAACAATGCAGAGCTATAATGTAATATTATTAATTTTCTTTAATTACCCAAAACTGATTCTAAAGAGGACTAAGTGTGAAGATGTTTTAAGGAATGGGAATATCACTGGAAAAAACATAAAAATACTGTTAAGTAATATTTTGCACTTAGATGAGTATGTAATATTTGTTGTTACTTAATGCTTATTTTTATACTATATAGTGATAATCTCTACTTTGATGGATTATTTACCACACTTAGAATCATCACAGAATTAGAAACAACAATTTTCTTTCACCTTCTTGATGAATAAGAATAGCCTCAAGCATGTCTATTGGTTTATTTTTAGCAAATTAAGATAATTCCCTTGAATAATCTCCCTAAAAACCTCATGTATTGAAGATGAAATTTCTTAACAACAAATACATTTACAATAAATCTCTGTAAAGTAGTATTTACATGCCCCTACTGAGGGCACTCTTCTAGTAGAAACTCAGATGAATTTTAGAGTTCTTGGGTAGACCCACCCTTCCTAGGACAGAAAAAAAAATTACTTTTTGATTTTCATAATATCTTATACACTAAGAAGGGGAAAAGCAGAAGTCATATTTATCAATACAGGCATGATGTATTAGGGAAAATGTTTTCTGACTGTATAGCATGATATGTGTTCATTATACAAAAATTTAAAAGCCTGAGGAATAAGGAAAGAATCACAACTCCAAAGACACCATTGTGGCCATATTGGCACATTTTTTTTTTTCTTGGTTATTCTTTGTGCTTTCTAATTTAAGGTCATAGTATATGTGTAATTTTATATCTTATGTTTTCCACTATTATACTCTTTGATGTATGATTTGTGAACATTTTAGTGGCTGCACAGTATCCTACTGTGTGGTTCCACCATCATTTACTTCTTTTCAGTGTTAAACTTTTAGGTGGTATTGACTTTTTCACTATAGATAATCACATAGTGAACACCTCTGAATCAACTCTCTAAACTCCAGATTATATCCACTCGTATTTTTGCATCTGTAGCTGAGATATTGAATGGGCCATGGTTATATGAAGTAGCGTTCCAAGGCAAAGATGTCTTAAAAAGAAGAGTCTCAGAGAGGATCTGGAAGTAATTTTTGGTGTAGCTTAGGAGGAGCTTCTTATTAGGGTCCTCTGACCTGTGTAACATTTGAAAATCAAGTCCTCGTAACAGATGGCTTCTGCCCACAAGTATCATACTGTAACTGTCAGAGCTCTATTGTATCTATTACTTGCTGAGTATTTTTAATATGCAATGTACTTTTTGTCAGTTCTCATAAACTTCGTGATAACTATCATGTGAGGGTGAGAATATCTGCATTGTGAAGATAAACTCAGGTTCAGAAAGCTCATGCAACTTGCTAAGGTGAAAATTCCAGTAACTGAGACACCTAGGACTTGGATGCAGGTCTTTGTGACTACTAAGAATAAACTTTTAACTATTTACCTTAACTAACCTTGAGTTTTAGATTTGGATTTAGATATGCTTTGTGTGCCCCATCTGGTTTCCAACCTCCTCCACTTACCACACACACTAGTTTTCAGAGTATCAAAACATAAGAACAAAATGCTCATACCCAGAGAGTATTTTAGATTTACCACGGTATATCATGTAATCAGTCATTATTCAAATATTCGTTAACACTGACAAATGGAATTATTCAGATAGTTGGAATTGGTTAATTCATTTTTACTCTACTAATACTAAATTTATTTGTAATGGATAACACTAATCTTTGAACTTGCCACAGCTTGTGTCTGTGGTAGTGAAAATTTTCTCTGATCAAGACATGGTATTGTAATGCAATTTTGATTATTCCTGTCAAGAAGTTCATATATTTAAAGCCATATAAACAGCAACATAAAATTGTCATCATTTTTAATCTGTTAAGTACATTGTTATGTTAAGCAGCAAACAAGCCCCTTCTGATAGAAGGAATAAACATGCCACCTAAGGGTTGCACCCTTCAGTTTTTAATTCTTTACAGCTGTTCAGAACATAATGTGCAGTTACTACAAGTTCTAGTGTTGACAGCTTGCGTAGAAAGCTTCCTCTGCAGGAAGGCCACCTTCTTGAACATTTATAAAGTTTAGTCTGACTTATATTTTTATTTCTTTGTTTGTATTTTTAGTTATTTGTTCCATAGTGGCAACCAAGAACATCCAGGAGATATGCTGCTAAATACATCTGTGGAAGTTTTGCCTTTTAAGGTATGACTATTTTTTCCCCTTAATTTTCCTTAAGAATACCAGTAGACTTGGTTTGAGGCTATTCTTGTTTATGAAGTGAAAGAAAGTTTTCATTATTGTGGGACCTCATTGGTAATATTAATTATTTTTGAAATATGAAACACTGTTTTGTCCTGTTTGCCTTACTCAAAGAATGAGTCTTCATTTTGTTTCTCATTGGAAAATACTTGAAAGTTTATATTAGGAAAATAAATGAATCATTCTTTTACTTTAATGTTTACCTGCTGTTTGTATTTTGAGTCTCCAAATACCATGTGATTGTAGTGCCTGTTGATTAATACACAAAATTAATGTATTGGCCTCTAAGGAATTCTTAGATTTCTTTCAAGTTAGCACACAGTTCTTGTGCATATTTTTAACAGAAACTAGTGTTTTATTAAACTAATTTGAATTTTAAGTTATTTAAAATTTAATTCCTAATCACCAGTATATTATATATCGGTTCAGATGATGGTTAGAAAAAAAGAACACTCATACTGATAAGTGTTTTAAGGTTTAAGACTGAAATGACATTTTCTGTTTTTAGAGATAGCTGTGCCACAAATGCCACTTTTATATTTGTTAAGATATAGTAATAACTTAGCTTTGTTTTAAATAGAAGACATTGTTTATAAAATTAAATGTTTTTTTCTGTTTTAGAGTGAAGGTTTGGAAATAAACAAAGAAACCAAAGACAAACGATTAGAAGATGGTTATTTCAGGATAGGTAATGCCTACTTTTAGACTGGTAAAAATGTCCTTGATTTTTTTTTAACTTATCCTAAAGTAATTTTAAATACTTTCAAATGTTTAACAGCTTTAGGATTACAATTACCAGTGTACTCCAACTTGCGTTTTATTATCTCAACACAACTAGGATTTCAGATCAAAGGTTCATTCACTGGTTCCCCTTTTTCCTTCCACCTGCCATTTGTAGATATTCACTGACAGATAATCTGCCTTCAGCTGCCTTCTGCAGTCGTGCTGCATTACCTTAGCTACTCTCATGGCCTCAGCAAAATCCACATGGCAGAACCACTTACACTGAGAATGCATAATACTGACTTTTTTTTATTGCTTGCCACCATTCATCTGGTTGCCTGAACCTAATGTGGGAAGATACCCTGAATACCACCCCATGCACTTTACTGCCCATTAGCATAAATATGTACATTTGCTATGGTGCTCTAGGCTCTGTGCCTCTGTGTCTGAACCAGAGAGGGACTGCATCTGCTGGTATCCTTTTCTTGGCTTTCCACAAAGCCACTGCAGTTACCTTTTAAAAATGTTGCTATTATTGGGTTGGCCAAAAGAATTCCATTTAGTTTTTTCTATAAAATAAAAGACACATTTTTCACTATCACCAAAAATTTTACTGATTTGGATATTTTGAGTATGTTGGCTATCTTCCATTATTGGTTTCTAGTGGGTAGAGGCCAAGGGTGCCACTAAATAAACATCTTCCAATGCATAAGACAGCCCCACAGCAAAGAATTATTTGGCCAAAATGTCCATAGTACCACGAAACTTTGTAAATCACATTTGACACATTCGATTGGTCACAGCACCTTCTCCATACACTGCACAGATCATTGTGTTGTTTTTGTTTTTTTTTTTTTACTTTTCAGTTGCATTTTTACCATTCTCAAAATACTAAAGCATAATACACTGAAAATGTTGCATATCGTCTCCATCTTAAGTATTAAAATAGCTGCACAAAAATTCACCAGTTTTGATAAGTTTTTTTAAATGCACACTGATATGACAGCTGTCACAATACAATCTAGCAAAATTGCTTTGAATGAAGTTAAAGACAACTAGAGCCATCGTATGGGAAAAACGTAGGGGACTTGTTGACCAACCCAATATAACTATGTCAACCTATAGGTGAAACCTAATGACCTTCCACTATTAGATTCCTTAGTTACCATTCACATTCACAACTTCTTGCTTTCCTCTTATTCTTTATTTCTCCAGTCCCAAGACTGTTGGTCCTCTCATGCCCCGTGCTCTCATGTGCAGCCATGTCTGTGGGTATTTTTTCACCTGAAATGATCAATTGATATGTCTCCTCCTAGTGAATGCTTTCTCATCTTTTATTAACCATTTTAGTTGCCTCTCTTTTTTGCTCTTCATACCACACTGTGTGTACCTGTACTGTGTAGTCATAGTACAGTTCTCTGTTGTCACTGTGGAAAGGGAGGGGTGTTGTACAATGTCACATACGGCCTGTCACTTGATAGATATCAACTCAGTGAATGTATATTTTCTTTTCTTTTTTTAAGTATATTTTATTGATTATGCTATTACAGTTGTCCTATTTTTTTTCCTCCCTTTTATCCCCCTCTGTCCAGTACCCCTATTCCCGCCAACATTCCCCACCCCCCTGATTTCATGTCCATGGGTCATACATACAAGTTCTTCAGCTTCTTCATTTCCTATACTAAGCTTAACCTCCCCCTGTCTATTTTGTACCTACCAATTATGCTTCTTATTTCTTGTATCTTTTCCCCCAATCTCCCTACCCCATCCTTGTCGGTAACCTACCAAGTGATCTCCATTTTTGTGATTCTGTTCCTGTTCTAGTTGTTTGCTTAGTTTGTTTTTTGTTTGATTTTAGGTTCAGTTGTTGATAGTTGTGAGTTTGTTGTTATTTTAATGTTCATAGCTTTGATCTTCTCCCTTTTTCTTAGATAAGTCCTTTAAACATTTCATACAATAAGGGCTTAGTGATGAACTCCTTTAGCTTTACCTTATATGGGAAGCCTTTATCTGCCCTTCCATTCAAAATGATAGCTTTGATGGGTAGAATAATCTTGGATGTAGGTCCTTGCTTTTCATGACTTTTAATACTTTTTTCCAGCTCCTTCTTTCCCGTAAGGTTTCTTTTGAGAAATCAGCTGATAATCTTATGGGAACTCCTTCGTAGGTAACTGTCTCCTTTTCTCTTGCTGCTTTTAAGATTCTCTCCTTATCTTTCATCTTGGTAACTTAATTATGATGTGTCTTGGTGTGTTCCTCTTTAGCTCCAAAATTATTTGGGATTCTCTGAGCTTCCTGGACTTGTATATCTGTTTTCTTCACCAGCTTGAGGAAGTTTTCTTTCATTATTTTTTCATATAAATTTTCAATTTCTTGGTCTTCCTGTTCTCCTTCTGGCACCCCTATGATTCGGATTCTTTATTTCTCCAGTCTCAAGACTGTTGGTCCTCTCATGCCCCGTGCTCTCATGTGCAGCCATGTCTGTGGGTATTTTTTTCACCTGAAATGATCAATTGATATGTCTCCTCCTAGTGAATGCTTTCTCATCTTTTATTAACCATTTTAGTTGCCTCTCTTTTTTGCTCTTCATACCACATATTGGATATTGGAATGTTTAAAGTTGTCCCAGAGGTTCCTCAGCCTCTGCTCGTTTTTTTGAAGTCTTCTTTCTTCATTCTGTTCCAGTTGAATCTTTTTTTCTTCCTTCTGTACCAAATCTTTGATTTGAGTCCTAGTTTCTTTCCCTTCACTGTTTGTTCCATCTATATTTTGCTTTATTTCACTTTGTGTAGCCTTCACTTCTTCCTTTATCTTGTGACCATACTCAGTCATTTCTGTGAGCATCCTGATTACCAGTGTTTTGAACTCTGCATCTGATAGGTTGGCTCTCTCCTTGTTGCTTAGTTTTTTTTCTGTAGTTTTGATCTGTTCTTTCACTTGGGCCATATTTCCTTGTCTCAGCGTACCTGTTACGTTGTAAGGAGCAGAGTCTTAGGTATTTGCGAGGGTGGGGCAACCAGGTGGTGCTGTATATGGGGGAGGAGTCAGAGAGGGAACAATGCCTCTTGTTTGCCTCTTGCCCTGATTTCAGTCACTTCCCTCATTACCCACAAGCGAATTGTGCCCTTACAGGTGCTGCCCTGGTGCTGATTCCCAGGTGGGTGGGCTTGTGTATGTTGTAGGATCCCATGGGCCCCTCCAACAGACTCTCCTGTGAGACTGGCAGTTTCTCCCGCCACTGCAACCCCCACAGGTTTTTACAGCCAGAGGTTTTGAGGCTTTTAATTTCCTGCACTGGAACCCTTGGTTGCATGGTCTGTCCCGTTCCCCTGTTTTTCCTCCTCATTTATCTGCACAAAAATGTGGGACCACCTGGTCTGCCAGCTGCCACTTTGCAACCTTACATCCTGGTTGCCCCTTGCACCTTGTATCCTCTCTGCTTGGCTGCCCATCTCTTCCCCTTCTGCCAGCCTAGATGCATGTATCTTCTTTAACTCCTTGGTTGTCAGAATCCATACAGTTTGATTTTTTGGCAGTCCTGGTTTTTTCATTGTTAAATTGGTTGTTATCCTTCTTTTGGTTGTGCAAGGAAGTGAAGCGTATCTACCTACGCCTCTATCCTGGCCAGAAGAGCCTATTTTCTTTTACTTACAAAAAATTAATGCTTATCTTAGTAGTAGGCAAAAGGAATATTGGTAAATTAATATTTTGAGTATACAGGACAGATACAGCCTTGTGTATATCTCTAGAACAGTTTCACATTTGGTGAATGTCATTCAATATTTGCTACAAGGCTTGTATGCTAACCCTGACTAATTTCTATGTAGTTTGGATGTAAAGATGAGTTTATTTTCATATTTGGGTTGTATCTTAGCCCACCTCTAGAAAAATACATAAAATGGCAGAGTATATGAGACATTAACCCCATTATCTGTCAATTACTAATTTCTGAGAATGTTGTATTCTAGGTAATGAAAGTAGCAGAGGAAATAGATGCATCTATATTTAATATCTCTGCAGCAATTTGAAGATAAGACCATCTCAAACATCATCTCATACATATTTAGAACCAGAAGAGAACTTATGAATCATCAAACCCCTAGGATCGTGCATCACAAAAGCATAGAAACATAGAGCAGTGTTTGTTTTTTTTTTCCAACTGAACGGAAAAAAATTCTGCTCCCTTAAGAAGTACGCTTTAGTGGAATGGTGTGTGAGGGGCTCATGGACCTTATTCCTAGTGAAATAGCAACAACTGGTGAAAAAAATTTTTTGTATTCTCTCCTGAGGATATGCTTTTATTGATTTTAGAAAGAGAAAGAGATACAAGGGGGAGAGAGAGAGATAAAGAGAGAAACATACATTTAGGGATTAACTCTCGTATGTGCCCTGACTGAGGATTGAACCAGCAACTCCTTGCTGTGCAGGATGATGCTTCAACTGACTGAACCACCTGCCTAGGGCATGAAAATTATTATTTTTTTAAAATATAGCAAATGGAGAAACATGAAAATCTGAATCTCAGTAAGAACATTAAGAGTCCAAGGCATTTGAGCCCTCAGCCCCTCCTTTACCCACACTGCCCAAGTCAGTGAGGTAGAAGCTCTACTCTCTGCCAGTGCAGCCGAGAACACTGAATTCCCTCTCCCACCAGCTCCCATGCTGGGGCAGTGGAATCTCACCAAGAAGGGCAGGCGCCCACGTCTCTCCCCTTCCCCAACTCTGTACTGCAGAAGCTCTGTTCCAGGCAAGAGCAGCCAAGAAATCTGAGGCTACTGTCCATTCATAGGGCAGTAGCTCTTTGTCAGGCACAGCGGGGTGAGAAGACTTGGCTCTGATCACTCTCACCCCGGACCACTTGCTCCAGCACACTGGGAGAGGTGAGCCAAGAGAATGGAAGGCTACTGCTACAACCCAGTGCTCTGCTCGTAAAGCAGGGGTGCAACTCCAGGAGACATAGGCTGC